CTTCTTCTTATCAGTTGCACCAAAAACACGATTCAGGACTTTCTGTGCAGGCTTCACAGCAACATCAAGGATCACTTGATGCTGCTGGAAAGTAGATGAGTGGAAAGAACAGCTTTCAGTTCTTCCCACTCATTGAGATCAGCTGCAATCTTGTCATGGTCTCAGGGATTGTGATTTTTTTTCTTTGCTTCCCTCGGTCTTTTCTATGTCTTTCTCTATATGCAGTTACTTTTCTGTCTGTGTCTCTTTTACTTCCTGTCTCTGTCTTCCCTCTGGTTAACTGTTCTCACGTGCTGTTATTTCTTTCCTTGCACTGGTATCTGTCTTGTTCTCTAATTAGTGCACTTTGTAAACACAGTAACTGTCCACTTTGTTTGTTACACCTTGGTAGTACCAATTTTGATCTTTTTGCTTTCTTAATTCTTCATTGCATAGATTCAACAGGCTGTTGTATGTATTCCTCCAAGATTTTGGTCCATATTGACATGATACTCTCACAGATTTGCAGATTTATTAGGTGCACATCTGTGATGAAAATATCTCATTCCATTCCATTCCAAGGTGCTACATTGGATTGAGGTCTAGTGATTATGGAGGCCATTTGTGTATGTTGAATTCTTTGTAATGTTCTAGAAACCAGCTGCGTGACATGGTGTGTTATCCTGCTATGAGCAGCTATCAGCTGAAAGATGCTCAGTTGGTACCTGGGGACCTAAAGTGTCAAGAAAACACACTGCTGCTCCACCAACACCAGCCTGAAGTGTTGATACAAGGCGGAATGGATCTATACTTCCATGTTGTTTATCTTAAAAATGACCCTACCATCCAGGTGTTGCAGCAAAAATCGAGATTCATCAGACTATGCAATATCTGTCTAGTCTTCTGCTGTCCAGTTTTGAATTGTAGCCTCTGTTCTTCCCAAGAGGAGAGGCACCCAACAGGAAACAGACTGTGGTCCTCTAGTGTAATAGCAAAAGAGGACCACATTGTGCTAAAACTGTGTTTCAAGGTTTGACATGTTGTGCATTCAGAGATGCTCTTCTGCATACCTTTGTTCAAATTAATGGTTATTTAAGTTACTGTTGCAGTCCTGTTAGCTTGACCCAGTCTGGTCACTTCCCTTTGACATCTGGCATCAACAGGGTGTTTGCACCCTTTTTGTTTCTCGTACCTCAGATGGATTCTCATCTTTTGTTATGTCGTCTGCCGGTGTCTTATATTTGGGTCCTTTCTCTTAGTACAATGATATATTTACAATCAGATGTCTTAGGTTGGAGCCATTACTTCCAGTAACAGTACTTTGTAGAGATATATGCACTGATCATTTTCTCTTATTCTGAATGGCCATAAAATCTAAACTAACTAAACAGCCCCCAACAAAGCTGTTAGAGGACAAAGGGAAATCGGGGCTGCAAAGAAGATGAAATTAGAGAAATCAAAACAAGTTTTGGTGAATTAAACAGTACAAATGTGTAAAATTGAATTTTTATTAATAAAAATGAGTCTAAAAGGCCATAATGTCACCTTTTCCTAACAGAACTGAATGTTAACATTGATTAAAGGTGACACAGTATCTTTCCATTTATTTGTTGATAAGGCTCGTTAAAGAGATTAAGAGGTTACGGTATCGGTTTGCACTGCGTCCTGATGGATTTATTAGTAGTTGTCCTGACCTGTGACTCAGGAGCTACCTGCCAATCAGGGTATTGACTCGCTTTGCGTTTTCACCAGCTGAAGGTGTCCACGCTGACATCGGCCTCTGTGGAATATTTCTATCCTAGGCTGAGTGCCAAAGATGTCCTCAGCCTCAACACAGTCTGTCTCACTAAAAGAGATGAACGGGGAGGGAGAGTGGCAACATCCCGGCCATTCCTCAAAGTCTAAACTGTGTTCGCAGGTGGCACAGCAGGCGGCGAATTTATGAAATACTGTTTAACTTGCTTTTCCCATTTTTATCTATAAACTGGCCACATAGTCCTTCAAAACAATAGCCTTTACTTTCCCTAATGTAGAATGTGTTTGAGGAGTTTTGTTTCATTTGCAGTTTTACAACACAGACAGCTTTCCTTTGTCCTTCCAGAGACACCACAGCTGCTACTTAAAGATTTCTGCTCTCTGTTCTGGTGTTTCTTCTTTTCCTTGTTTTTAAGATTTCAATTTTCACTTGAAACAGAAGGATTAAATAGTCTTAATTGGTTTATACTCAAAGGATTTAGGATTATAATATAGAGTTACGTCATCTTGCCTGAAAGTCAATGTTATTGGGGGTGAAAACAGAGCTTTCTGAGACTGGTGCTTATTGAAAAATATCTTCAGGCACACAGAAACAAAAAGACAGGTTTACCCTGACATATCTGGAGCCTACTTGCTATGAAGAACAATTTTGAGTCGTGATTAAGGTTCAGAATGTGGAACGAAGGCCTTTGGTTCTTCTTTGATAAGATTTTCTCTTGAGGTAGGTGATGCCAGTGCACATCATTTGAGGTTGGAGTCTTAAGATAAGATAAGAGTTGTTGGGCTGTCAGTTTAAGAGCTTTGATAAGACAGTTATGTTATGTGTGCTACCAAAAGTGACATTGTTGCTCACAGTGTCTAACTTTGCATTTTATAATCTGAGTTTATTCACTTTCTGGCTGAAAGTATGGGAGACTAGAGCACACCAAACTAATGCCTTAGTCATCTAGGCAGTGACCCCCTGGCAACCTCTGGGGGGCGAGGAAAAAATGTGCATTCCCATTTCCAACCATTTTTCAAGTGGTTGCTGGCCTTGGCGCAGTTGATTTAGACAGTTTCGCTTAGGCTTGGTTGTCAATAGTTTGCATGGTACACACTGATTTGTCTGCAAACACTCACAAGCTACCCACTGTTTCCAGTTTCTGGTTTCTGGTTTGCACTTTTCAGATTCACTCCAGCCTGTTAGCCTTCAAAGTAAAAGCTTTGCCTTATTGTGGTAACTAACCCCTTTCATAAGGTGTAAACTATATAAAGCAAACTTGCAAAAGGAATCAAACCATTCCAAGAGACTTCCTCAAAACTTTCTCAAAAAGATGGAAAAATAAAAGGAACTTAAGGAAACAATAAAAAGATGAAAAAACAAGAACATGTTACAAAAAAAATCATGAATCACTGACTATAAAGATGCAATCCAGCCCTGAAGAGATGTAGAACAACCACAAAGATGCAAAACAAAAATAATGAGATACAAAAAGACCTCACTTGAAGACTGACTAGAAAGAGATTTAAAAAAAAAAAAAAAGACTAAGCGATCATAATTAGAAACAAAATGGCCAATGGAAGAGCGGGGGGTCTTTTACATATCAGTACTCATGGTTCGCTCATATCAGTAGATAGGATTTTGCAGTCCTTCTTTTTATTTTATTTTATTTTTTTTTTTTTGCAGTACCTTAAAACACTGGAATTAAAGGTGATATTTACCATCGTCCTCTCAGCACTTTACAGCTGGATTCAGAGCACAGTTTCCTGTTGTTATTTCCCTCCATCCCACTCGACACATGCTGAATTTTACTGAGGGGAGAGCGAGAGAGGAAAGTGAGCCGAACTGGAAATCGCATTACACGTTTCCGCAAGGACTTGGAGGGAAAACAACCTGTTGTTGTTGCCAATGCCAGACAGAAAAACCCTCGAGCAAGTGTCAAAGTGGGACACGCTTCTTTTTCATCCTGTGTCAGAAAATATTCCAACTTGTTCACACGTGTAACCCCAACCTGACAGCTTTTTCAGAAGTAAGATTGGCAGGAATTTATTATTATTTTTTTTTAATGAAACGTGTATAAATGTTGTGTTGAAAGTAAAAGCATGAAAAGACAAAAACTGGGATGTTTTCCACATTTTCCCAAACCATCAGATATACTTTAATGCCTGTTTACAATATGGATTACTGAGCTGTCATTGGTAAAGGACGCAGTTCATTTCTGACATCTGTCTTTGGACCAATTGCTTGGCAACAGCACATACTCCATCATCCTACGACTTCGCCATCTCAGGCCACTCAATCCTCCTCGAGGCTTTTCATGTAATTCACAACAATGTTCCTGTGTTTCATTGGCATGTTAAACCTTGATTTCATTGAATGGAAACTGGCTATTATGCATTTGCTTTAATGGCGGTTTGACACGATCGCAGCTAATGGGACGGGCGTTACTCTGAAAAGGAAAATAATCCACCATTTAAATACAGCTTACTATAGAGAGGAAATTAATGCATGAAGGTTGAACTTGCTGTTGGATAACACAGGATCTGTGGAGTGCCTCTTAGTAAAGAGTCGGGGACATTACACAGCAGATAATGGCATGCCTGAGTGCTAATAATGAATGTAAAGATGAGTTTCACATTTTCTTATCCGACACCTATGATCTAATATATTTTTCTTATTTTACTGGAAAGATGAGATTTGTGTTTGAAGTTGAGTTTGAAACATGATTTTGTTTTTATTTTAATAATAATTAATGCTAAGCTGTACCCATCCATGATTAAACTTTTTTTTAACATTGTGGATTGCTCCCTTTTTCAAAAAAAAAGTTTAAATGTCTCTAGATCTTGATCAAGAGTGATTGGATAGCAAATCCATATTCAAACACTCAGCAGTGGTGTTGAGCTTTAGTTAGAGACCAAAACAATAAAGTTTGTGTTTAGTGTGGCTGGGTTCAGCCCAGATTGAGGAGTTTGTGGTCTAGATTTGGTGATCTGGACATCTGAGCATGTCAGGGGGGGAGGGGACACCAGGGTTGGAACCAGTGATGTTATTAAGCCATAAATAGACATAAGTTATTTTTGGCAGTTCTTCAGCGATCAGAGGCCGATCCCCTCAAACTGTAGGTGTGCCTGACCTGAGATTCTTTAGCAAAATATGAAAGAAGTGGATCATCAGTTCACTCCTCTTTTGAGGCTTTAACCCCTCAACTTATTCAGGCCTCCATAGAGGCAGCTCTTCAATCGGGGCCAGTACTGACAGTTTGTCTTTTGTCCTTTTCTCCTAACAGCGATCCTTTTGGCCCTGATTCATTTGTGATTTGAGCACCACGACTGATCGGAATAAGTTGGAATCCGCTTCTGTCTGGGTGAGTTTGTACTGCCCGTCGAGAGACCCTAAAGACACTAGTTAGACTCTGGTTTGCCTTTTATTTTCTCCGCATTAGGTCATGTCAGACATAAGTTACATACTTGAAATCACTAATTTTATGCTCTGCTCTTTACTATATTTAGTCTTTTGTTTATCTTTCATTCTCTTTTAGAATAAAAGACAGAAGGAACAACATGACAATCCTGCCCCTTTTAGAAATGATAGCTGATGTGTATGAGAGTGAATTTGACATTTCAGACATTGCAAATACAGACTATATTTGACCTGACCATAAAACTTGCTGTCCTACAGAAATTGTGTAGTATTTAGAAGGAAGTGCTGCATTTAATGAGAACAAGCATTAAAGTCAAACTATAGTTCATGAATTAAAGGTTATGGAGAGCATAACATTGCCGTACTTACCGGCTTTAAGAAGCTTGTACCTGTAAGCATTAATTGGTGAACTATGGTTACCTGTAGTTTGTCATGTTTGTCTGTAACAACTCATTAACTACCAGCTGAGTCACTTCCATTCAAGCTACAACTACATTTGCAACAATATGCTAGCAACCAACGCAATCACAGGGAGGCTTTTGAAAACCAGTTTGGGAATATAAATGTTTCTCTTGTGAGTTTTGGTTGCCACAGGATCACGGACTGGTCTGGTGTGGCTCAGTTTTAGCAAACACTCAGAACCAGTCAGGCGAATTTTTCCCCTCACAACCGGTGGCTAACTGCTGGTTGAGGATTAATCTCTGGGCCTTTATTCTCTTCTCACATGACCAAAGGTAATTTCATTTGGTTAGTGGTCACATGTCTGCAAAATACTTTTACCACTATTTTTTTTTTTTTGCCACATATTTCTCCCATAGATTTCAATTTAGTGTCTTTCTCTAATCAGAATCATAAGAAACCTGTCTAAACTCTGCTGGTGTCATTATTCTACCAAATGAAAATTTCCATTTCCTTCATAGTGATAAGGTAAACCTTGTTTATTGCAGCAATTACTGCTGAGTAAAACAAAAAGAAAATATTTGTTTACGTTCTGTGAAATAATTAAGTTGTCACAAAGCATTAAATTACACTGAAATACGCAGAATTAATCCTCAGGCCTTCTTCTGGTTTTCTTGTGCGTGTGGGAGTAGACGACGTTTGTTTGGGTTCGCCCATAATTAACGTGTCAAAGCGCCAGCGACGATATAGAGGTGTTAATGGTGACAAGGTGACATGTAAAGGTTTGAGGGCAGCTCTAAAAATATGCCGCTGTCACCTCATCAGTTCTCCCACCGCCGGTCGTTTCCCCGACGCCCTCGGAGCGAGTCTTTGACAAAACATCCACGATATGACAACCCGTGTCTCCTAACAACGTGCCACGGTTTCCAAACGCGCTTCAAACTGACTGACAGACTCTTGAAAGCGTTAGCTGGCAGCGCTGCCGTCGATGGATGTGCGAGCCAAGGTGCAGGTTGAAGAGGAGGCGATACGTGTGATGACTCTCTAATCGACTGGTTCTTTTTTTCTTCTTCTTTTTTTTTCCCTGAATGTTTTCCTGCCGAGCTTCTAAAAGACACTCAAGCTTGGAGTTTTTAGAGCTTGTGCTGTGAAAATGCTGCAAATGGACGCACACACACATGAACACCTACACCAACATGCACACAGATTCCTGCTGTGCTGCTTCCTGATGTGCGAATGAGCTCATACTGAGGGATCGGGGTCGAGGTGCATTATCTCAGGTACCAGAGAGTCTTATTTACCACTTCCTGTCAGGCTTAAAACCCACAAATCAGGGCAAAAACACAGAGAGACAGAGAAAAGCTCTTCTTCATACACCTGTGATTATGGTTTCTGTTTTTTTTTTGGTTCTCTCAAATGTCTTCTCACAGCCTCACGGCCTGTCCTTAAATGCCATCACCTCGCCTGTGAACTCTGTTATTTAATAAGTGAATTGAAGTGTTTCATTCTGCAGCGAGATGTGCTCCATTTGAAGACCTGATGGTACAAAATTATTTCTGCCATGAGAGGAAAAAAGCACATTATGAGCTATGAGTCATCTGGAGACTGCATTAACCTCTGAAAGTTTTTCTTTGTTTTTGAAATATTATTCAAACTTTTCTTCTTCTTCCAGGAAACAACATAAAATAATAACAGTGCCATTGTCCCACAGTTGATAATTTGTGTGATCCTCATTTACATAATTTCTGTAAGCAGATTAGCTTAATTAAAACTGTCAGTGCTGTTTTGAAGTTTAGCCAGAGCTGCTGCGCTTGCCTTTATCTCCAAGCTCCTGGATCTTTATTTGAATCTGCAGATGTAGATCGAGCCTCCGGCTGCTGTAGTCGCAGCGATGACCTTTTTCTGCTTTAAAAATTGCATGTTTTCTCAGGATAGAGATGCCTCTCATCAAAGAGCAGAGAGGAACATTGATTAGTTTTCCAGAGGGAGTTTTTTGGACTTACTGTGACCTCTGTGAAAGTTGAAGGGATGCATCATGCTGTAGTCATAGGCAGTTTGAAGGATGGATGAAGCTTCATGGGCTGAAACATGAAGCCAATCCTGAAAGCGACTTAAACTGGGCTTCTTTTTAATGGCCGGCAGCAGTTGTGTCCTCTGCTCAATCGATCTTTTATTTCACTAAAAAGATTTTTGAGGCTTTTACAAGGTCAGTGTGCAAGTTTATAGTCTCATACATTAAAACGTGATGTACATATTGTGTTGTTGTAGTCAGAAAAGTTAATAAACCAGGGAAAGCATCCAGTTTCATGTTGTTGACTGCAAAGATTGTCAACTCAAGTCTTCATAACCAGTCTGTGGCTTCAGTAGAAGTGTGCTTTCTGGTCTTATATTTATTGGAGAAAGCGATACATTTAAAAAAGTTTTCAGTTTTAAGTTTATAAGGTTGAATTATCCATCTGTAATATAATGGACTCTGTAAGTCACTGTAAATCATCCTGGGATGAATTGTTGTTATGCTTTATAATTAAACTACAGTTGAAACTGAAATGCAGCTGACATTAGTTTTGTCTAAATTCTCACTGGCTTTTATAGCTGATTTTAAGTTCAGACTTTGTTTTTGTACCTGGAGAGAGGTACTGGATGAAGTCAGTTCTCACCAGGTAACCTCCCAGCATTGCGGGAGTTGATGTGACGGACAGTGCTGCACAGGCAGACCTGTGCTGGTGCAGGGAATCCATCCAGCAGTTCTGCCAGCTCTGACTCTCTCTGGCTTCTCAAGCTGGAAATTGCCATAATGTATCCTGCAGTGGTCGGCTGCACAGGCCTCTTTCAGACGCTCCATCTGCTCTGCTGACACACATATACACAGTGCAACACTATCACATTATATGTGATGCACAGAAAGAAACGCGCAGATACAACAGTGTCAGCTAATGTGTGCACGTAATATATGCTTAAATACGCAGAGAAAAACGGTACGATTACTAATGTGGACTCAGGTTTGGTTAAGCTGCTGTTGTAAAGAAGCATTAGGGAAGCAGTAGTTTGCACTTTGATCACAGCGAGAAGCTTAGAAACAAACTCAGCTTGGAGTCGTTCTTCCCAATTCTGGGATAGAAATTCTTCTGTCTTCAGTAACTCATTATCTTTGGTTCACCTTACCCTTTCTGAGTCAAGCACACAGCCTCTCTACTTTCTTTTACTGTATCTGTCTTTACTGTTTAAAGCAGCACAGTAACCCAGCAGCTAGCTTGTGACAGTGTGTGTGTCATTGTGTTTGGTCTGTTCAATAGGCTTAGCTGCAGATTTTTAATTCTTCTTTTGCATGAATGTTTATGATTTATATCATTTAGTGTAACAAGGAAAAAAAATGTTCTTTTCGGTGCTACTAGTGACCAATAATAAAATGTGCCCGTGACATTTTAAAAGCCACAGTTTATATCTTTTCTGTTCACCAGTACTCCAAAACCTAAAATCCCACAAGTACTGATTCCAAATACAAGAGTAAGATGCAGAGCTGTAGCTACTGCAGAGCAATAAAGCTGATGAGCCATGCCATGAAGCTATGGGAAAGAGTTGTTGAAGCCAAGTTAAGGGGAGAGGTGATGATCAGCAAGCAGCACTACTGATGCAATGTTTCCTTTGAGGGTGTTGATGGAGAAGTGTAGAGAGGTCAGAAGGAGTTTCATGGTGTTATTGTGGCTTTAGAGAAAGCATATGATAAACTACCAAGAGAGGAACTGTGGTACACCATAACGAAGCCAGGAGAGGCAGAGAGGTAAGCGAGGGTGGTGCAGGACGTGCATGAGGACAGCGAGACAGTTGTGATGTTTGTGATAGGAGTGACAGATGGGCTCAAGGTGGGGGTGGGATTACATCACAGATCTGAGCACTTTTTTGTTTGCAGTGGTGGTGGACAGACTGCTAGATGAGGCTGGCTGGGAGTCTCCGTGGACTATGATGTTTACAGATAATATTGATCTGTAGTAAGGGTGGGGAGCAGGTGGAAGAGAGCCTGGAGAGGTGGAGGTATGTTGTAGAAAGAAAAGGATTGAGTGTCAGTAGAAGCTTGAAAGAATACATGTGTATGAATGAGAGGGAGACGGGTATAAGAAGCAAATAGAGTAAAGTGGATAAAATTTGCATACAAGAAACAGTGGAGAAGAGAGGCAAAGAACAGAGTGCCGGCAGGGTGGAGTGGGTGGAGATGAAAGAAGGAGAGAATGAAAGGGAACATTTACAAGATAATACCAGGACTTACTTGCAGGACTTATCTAAGATTCGGAGACTGTAGCATGGACAAGACAGGAGGCCAAACTGAAGATGATAAGATTTTTATTGTGATTTCCATTGAGTGGAATGGACAGGATAAACAAGAAGCACATCAGCTCAGGTTAAGCAGGTTAGAGAGGAAAGAGTTTGGACAAGTGCACAAGAGAGATAGTGGATGCATTGAACAAAGGATGTTGAAAATAGAGGTTCCTGGCAGGAGTAAAAGTGAAAGACCACAGAAAAGGTTTATGGATGTAGTGAAGGAGGACATGC